TCCACATCCAGCTAATTTTTTGATTTTTTTGTAGTGATAGGGTCTTGCTGTGTTGTCCAGGCTGGTCTTGAACTCCTGGCCTCAAGCAATCCTCCTACCTTGGCCTTCTAAAGTGCTGGAATTACAGGTGTGAGCCACAGAACCTAGCTATATTTAGACTTTTTGAGTTGGAGTCATACTCTGTCGCCCAACCGGAGTGCAGTGGTGCAATCTGGGCTCACTGCAACCTCTGCCTCCCAGGCTCAAGCGATTCTCCTGCCTCAGCTTCCTGAGTAGCTGGGATTATAGGCACCCACCACCACGCTCAGCTAATTCTTATATTTTTAGTAGAGACGGGGTGTTCACCATGTTGGCCTGGTTGGTCTTGAACTGACTTCAAGTGATCTGCTGCCTCAGCCTCCCAAAGTGTTAGGATTACAGGCATGAGCCACCGCGCCCAGCCCACATTTTGATTTTAAAAATCGTGAATAATTCTATATTCAAAAAATAAAATGACTGCACTTTTCCCAGTTGCAGATTGTAACTGTGTGTAAAAGATGTTGAGCTGTAAAATGTCAGGCAGTGACATTAAACCCTGTGATCTGTGCAGTCCCGGTCAGGAGAGAGCATTACTCATCTTCAGTTATGAATCACGTGCACTGTAGCGCCAGCAAATGCTTTTTGCTTTTCTTGTAGCCACCCCAGACTCTCTCCCTAAACCTCCCAGGCTCAAGAATAGGGCTGAGACTTCCAGCCAGGGCCCAGCTCCCAGGCAGTGGTCACTGACTATTGATTAGACCAGATTAACGGATGAATCTGGAGGCAGTGTACTCTGGGGCCAGACTGCCTGAGGTCTAACCCCAGCTTTGTCACTTATTAGCTAGGTGACCCTGAGCATGTCAGTTCCTCTCCCTGTGCCTCAGTTTCCACATCCATAAAATGGGAATAAAAAGTAGTCCTGCTGGGCACAGTGGCTCATGCTAGTAATCCCAGCACTTTGGGAGCCTGAGGTGGGTGGATTGCTTCAGTCCTGGAGTTCAAGACTAGCTAGGGCACCATGTGAAACCCCGAGTCTAAAAAAAAAAAAAAAAAAAAAAAATTAGCCAGGTGTGGTGGCACACACCTGGGAGTCCCAGTTACTTGACAGCTAAGGGAGGAGGACCACCTGTGTCTGGGATGCAGAGGCTACCGTGGGTCGTGATCACACGCTGCACTCCAGCCAGGAAGACAGGGCAAGACCCTGTCTCAAAAAAGCAAAACAAAACAAAAACGCAGTCCTTACCATGTAGGGTTGCTGTAAGGACTAAATGAGCTAATTCATTTATACACAAGGTACAGAGTAAGGATATGATAACTATGAGCTCTTCACAAAGGTGGAGGGCTCAGGCACAGTGACAGGTAAGAGGCTACGAGGGACTGGGTGGGAGGCAGGGTCCCAGGGATGTGAGGCTCAGGCTCAGGGAAGCAGGCATCGCCCCTCAGAGTTGGGGAGGAAAAGGAAAAGGCCAACGGTGACAAAGGCTGCCAAGTTGGCAAGCCAGAAGGGAGAGTCGGAGGTAAAGAGGTCACTGATGATCTTGGTCAGAGGAGTTTCGGCAAGTCATGAATCAGGGAAGGGGTGGGAGGTGAGAACGGAGTGATCAAGGGCAGAAGACACTTGCAAGCTGTTGGTAGAGACACAGGGAAGCTCTTGGGGGACAACTGGGAGACAAGGGGCACTTTTTCACTCAGGGAACCCTGAGTTTACCTAAGTGCAGATGGCCAGTAATGGCTGCAACCCATAGAATAAAAAGCCATGAGTCCACACGGATATAAATGAATGAGTAAATGAAATGGACAAGAAGGAAAACTCTTTCTTACAGTAAACTCATTACAGTGCCTAATGATGGTAAAGCATATGGTGAAATTAGAAAACCACCACTTGTCAGCTGTTAGAGGAAAAATTGTTTCAGAGAAGAGTCATGAATGGATGCTGACCTAGAGTGAGCAGGGTATTTACATAGCCTCAAACTATGTCCTCACAAGACACTTACTGGTTGCAAAGGGAAGGACAGTAACTTCATCGTGGAGTCCCTGATGAACACCATGTTAGCCAAGCCACCCAAGTTAACAACAACAGTAATGAGTGCAGTCGGCCAGGGGCAGTGACTCACACCTGTAGTCCCAGCACTTTGGGAGGCCGAGGGAGGAGGATTGCTTGAGCCCCAGGTCAAGGCTGCTGTGAGCTAGGACTGTTCCACTGCACTGCAGCTGGGCAATAGAGCAAGACCTTGACTCTAAAAACAAATACATAAGTAAATAAACAGTAATGGGAAGAAACCCCATGTGCCTCCTGAGAAGTAATGTGAGGACACATTACTTCTCTGATATTCCTGCAAAAGAGGCATAGCCCTAGTCTAATAATGAAGAAAACTCAAGACAAGCCCATACTGAATGACATTTTACAAAACAGCTTGCCTCTGTTCTTCAAACGTGTCAGGAAAGATAAAGACAGACTCAGGCACAATTCCAGACTGAAGGAGGAACTGACAGAATACCTAAATGTGATCCCCGGTTCTGGGTTGGCAAAGAAAAGACATTGACAAAAGAAATTTCTCCAACAAGGGCAATTGAATACCCTCTGGGATTAGACAGCAGCACTGTGTCAATGTTAATTTCCTGATTTGCATAATTGTCCTGTGGTTAGGTAAGAGAATGAATTTGTTCTTGGGAGATACACACTGAAGTGTTTAAAAGTAAAGGGAAATTGGCCAGCCCAGGTGGATCATGCTATTAATCCCAGCACTTTGGGAGGCTGAGGCAGTCTGATCACTTGAGGCCAGGAGTTCGAGACCAGCCTGGCCAACTTGGTGAAATTCCATCTCTACTAAAAATATTAAAAAAAAAAAAATTAGCCGGGTGTGGTGGCGGGCGCCTGTAATCCGAACTACTCGGGAGGCTGAGGCAGGAGAATCACTTGAACCCAGGAGGCGGAGGTTGCACTGAGCCAAGATCATGTCACTGCATTCCAGCCTAGCCAACTCCAAAAAAAAAAAAAGAAAAGAAAAAAGTAAAGGGAAATCGTGGTGGAGTAAATAGTCAACACTGGGACAACGTGCGTGAAGGGTATTCAGAAATTCTATGTGCTGTTCTGGCAACTTCTCTATAAACCCGAGTTATTTCAAAATAAAAAGTTAGCAAAATGGTGACAGTAAAGATCAGGCAGTAATAAGAGCAGCCAATATCTCCGGAGCACTCGCCATATTCCAGGTACTGCCCACACTGCCCATCCTCACAATAGTTAATTGTTTCATTTTTATTGTTATAGATACAGGGTCTCAGGCTGGTCTTTTTTTTTTTTTTTTTTTTTTTTTTTTTTTTTTTTTTTTTTTTTTTTAACTCTGCTTTAGGCTTTTTTACTGCAAGAACCCAGGCTGATCTTGAACTCTTGGGCTCCAGCGATCCTCCTGCCTCGGCCTCCCAAATGGCTGGGATTATAGGCATGAGCCACCGCACTCTGCCATTAGTTAATGGTTAATGTGATTATTCTATCCCCATTTTAAAAAGGAGGAAACTGAGGCTTAGGGAAGACAGTGACTTGTCCAGGGCTGCATTAAGAAAAGACGGAAGAGTTAGGATGGGAGAGGTGGATCGAGGAGGATGAGCGGGTTTCTGAAAAAGGAAGTTCCATCACATCTCTCCTAGCGGCTACATTATTTAGACTTGGAATGGTCTAGTTAGTGACTGACCCCCACATCAGACTACAAACCCACGAAGGTGCGGGCTTTCTGTTTCTGAGACAACTGCTTCTGTGCCACAGTCCCTTCTGGCATCTGGTGAAACCTTAATCAGGATCATGGGTTTTTTAATTTGTTTTGAGATGAAGTCTCATTCTATCAAGTGGAGTGCAGTGGCGGGATCCCGGCTCACTGCAACCTCCGCCTCCCGGGTTCAAGGGATTCTCCTGCCTCAGCCTCCTGAGTAGCTGGGACAACAGGCGTGTGCCACCATGCCTGGCTAATCTTTTTGTATTTTTAGTAGAGACAGGGTTTTACTCTGTTAGCCAAGATGGTCTTGATCTCTTGACCTCGTAATCGGTCTGCCTTGGCCTCCCAAAGTGGTGGGTTTACAGGCATGAGCCACCGCACCCAGTCTTGTATCATGTTTTTAAATGTATAAAATGAATTCATAGCAGAGGAAACAAGTATTGAATAGCTCTCAAAATATTTTAAAAATGAATTTGTGATCCAATAATACTGTGTGTTGTTAATCTATCAAATAAGATCTAAGGCCGGGCACGGTGGCTCACACTGTAATCTCAGCACTTTGGGAGGCCAAGGCAGGTGAATCATCTGAGGCCAGGAGGTCAAGACCAGCCTGTCCAACATGGTGGAACCCCGTCTCTACTAAAAATACAAAAATTGGTTATTGATGGGTCGATAGTGTCACCACAAGCCCCACACAAGAGAATAAAGCCAGTGAATGTTTATCGATGGAATAACTGATGCCTATTCACAACAGTGACAACGTTGTGACCACTGATACAGATAAGAGTGATAACAGTTCTCATTTGTGTTAATGCGTTTCATCCTCAAGATAACCCAAGGGGCTGAGTGAGATGGCTCATGTTTATAATCCCAGCACTTTGGGAGGCTGAGGTAGGAGAATTGCTGGAGCCCAAGATTCAAGACCAGCCAGCCTGGGCAATGTAGTGAGATCACATCTCTACGAAAAATAAATTTAAAAATTAGCCAGGTGTGATGTCACACACCTGTAGTCCCAGCTACTCAGGAGGCTGAGGTGGGAGGATCGCTTAAGCCCCGGGAGTCAAGGCTGCAGTGAGCTGTGATCACGCCATTGCACTCCAGCCTGGGCAACAGAGAGAGCCCTCGCCGCTAAAATAAAATAAAACAGAATGCATATAACCCAAGACTGCTTTAACCTCATTTTACAATTAAGAGTGAGAGGCTCGTAGAGATGTCTCTTGCCTGAGGCAGGCAGCCGGAAGGGTATGGCTGACCCACATGGTGCCCCGCACCCACCTTCTGGAAGTCCTTCTTGGAGATGAGGCCACGGGGATCTGTGACGTAGTCCTGGAAGGCTTCAGAACCCACAATGTCCTTGAGTTTCAGGAACATGTCAAAGAACTTGAGGATCATCTCCACGTTAGACGAGGATTCCACCAGCATGTCCACCATCTGCCGGGCGATCATGCCGTTCACCACGTTCCCTGCAGGCAGTCCCAGGTCAGTGTGGCCTACGGACACTCTCTTCTGCGGCCCCACTGGGCTTGCCTCGCTTTCCAGCCCAGGAGCCACCAGCGCTGGCGGAGTGTCCCTGGCTAGCCGCAGCCTCCTGCCAACCAGTCCCTTTCTGACCTGTGTCAGCCTCCTGTGCCAACCTGGCTGATACTGCCCTTGCCTACCTCCCCAGTAAAGATAATGATGACAGGCCAGGCACGGTGGCTCACACCTGTAATCTCAGCACTTCAGGAGACTGAGGCGGGTGGATCACTTGAGGCCAGGACTTTGAGACCAGCCTGGCCAACACGGTGAAACCCCATCTCTACCTTGGTGGCACGTGCTTGTAATTCCTCAGCCTCCTGGGTTCAAGCGACTCTCCCACCTCAGCCCTCTGAGTAGCTGGGATTACAGGCTCAAACCACCAAGCCCGGCTATTTTTTTTTGTATTTTTAGTAGAGACTGGGTTTCACTGTATTAGCCAGGATGATCTTGATCTCCTGACCTTGTGATCATCTGCCTGCCTTGGCCTCCCAAAGTGCTGAGATTACAGGTGTGAGCCACTGCGCCCAGCCCAGGACATTGATATGATTAAGTTATTTAATCTAATCCAGCTAATTTTTGCTAGGGAGAATATGAACTCAGGGTCACTGAAGCTTAAAGTTTTCCAAGAAAAGCTGGAAATCTTGATGTTTAAGGGGAACCTTCTGATTTTTTTTTTTTGAGATGGAGTTTTGCTTTTGTTGCCCAGGCTGGAGTGCAATGACACGATCTCAGCTCACTGTAATCTCCACCTCCGGGGTTCAAGCAATTCTCCTGCCTCAGCCTCCCCAGTAGCTGAGATTACAGGCACCCACCACCACGCCCAGCTAAATTTTATATTTTTAGTAGAGATGGGGTTTATCCATGTTGGTCAGGCTGGTCTCAAACTCCTGACCTCAGGTGACCCTCCCGCCTCAGCCTCCCAAAGTGCTGGGATTACAGGTGTGAGCCACTGCGTCTGCCCTACTGTGGCTTCTTCATCAACCCATGGATCTTGACATGACATCAGGTGGGGCTGAGGGTTAGGGTCTCCCGGGTCTCAGAGGGCCATTCTCAGGCTTCTCCGAACCTTTTTACTGTCCCCTCCCCCTCAACCCGGGGTGCTTACCTTCCAGTAGCGACAGCAGCATCACCACCATGTCCTTCTGCAGATCCAGGAGCTCCTTCAGCAGCTCGATCTGGCTTGAGTCCTAGAGACCCCATGCCCCAGCTCGGTGATGGCTGGTCTCTGCAGACGCCTCCCCCACCTCTGTTGCTTCTGCCCCTCCTCACCTACCCAGCAGGGCCTAAACCCCTGTTTTCTTCCCTCTTACCTCCGAGGGGACCCGAGTCCAGACATGTTCCTCGGAAGCAGGGGAGGGACAGAGAGACAAGATTGTGGGGTGGGGTTGGCACTTGGGGGAAGGGCCCGATAGCTGATGGGTAGGGGGAAGGGGCTGGCCGACAAGGAGGACTGGGAGGCTTGCGGGGCAGACATGTGGGCCAGAGAGACAAGAGACAGAGAGAAACGCTGGGGACAGAGATCCAGGCCTGGGGAGGGATGTGAGCCCAGCACGGCCTGGCCTATGGTGGGCTTGACAGATGCATGTTGGCTATGATGTGTGATGGCAAGAGTGGGCCTCCGAACTCAGCAGGAAGGCTGGGGAGGCAGCGTGTGCTTTCTGGTACGCTGTCTGGGGGAACCTGGGGCCATGGTATAGGACCCATAGAAACCTCCCACACAAGGTGTTGGCTCACGGCCCCATCTATGTTAGGTTGAGTCACATAAAATTGCCAACATTGGATCACTTTTGGCTCACAAAGCGGTAATTTCTTTTCTTTTCTTTTCTTTTTAGATGGAATCTTGCTCTGTCGCCCAGGCTGGAGTGCAGTGGCGCAATTTGGGCTCACTGCAACCTCCACCACCTGGGTTCAAGCACAACTTCTGCCTCAGCCTCCCGAGTGGCTGGGACTACAGGCTCGCACCACCACACCCAGCTAATTTTTTTTGTTTTTTTTTTTGTTTTTGTTTGAGACAGAGTTTCGCTCTTGTTACCCAGGCTGGAGTGCAATGGCGCGATCTTGGCTCACCGCAACCTCCGCCTCCTGGGTTCAAGCAATTCTCCTGCCTCAGCCTCCTGAGTAGCTGGGATTACAGGCGTGCGCCACCATGCCCAGCTAATTTTTGTATTTTTAGTAGAGACGGGGTTTCACCATGTTGACCAGGATGGTCTCGATCTCTTGACCTCATGATCCACCCGCCTCGGCCTCCCAAAGTGCTGGGATTACAAGCGTGAGCCACCGCGCCCGGCCTTTTTTTTTTTTTTTTTTTTTTTTTTTTTTTTAATAGAGATGGAGTTTCACCATATTGGCCAGGCTGGTCTCGTGACCCGCCCACCTCGGCCTCCCAAAGTGTCGGGATTACAGGCGTGAGCCACCACGCCCAGCCCTCCCCCTCCTCTATGAATAATCCCTCACTTTTCGTCTGTGGAATCTCCCATCCCACAGTCAAAGCCTATGGAGCAAACCTCCTGGTTCTATAGGTGGGTTTATGACCAGGCCGGCCAATCAGAGCCTTCTTTCCCAAGGCTATGGTGATTGGCTCAGGGAGGGACATGTGACCCAAAAGGCCAGTCAAAGAGAATCTCACGGTTTCTTTCTTAGAGCTCTAAGGAAAGAGGAGTTCTTTTCCCTCTGGGGCTGTTAAGAAGTGGGGTGGATAGGAGCCTGAGGCACCGTTTTTTTCCAGCCCAGGGAGAGAGCCGGCTTGCAAATGCAGTCAAAGAGGAGACAGTTCTGCTGATATCACTCTATGCCCTGGATCTCTGATACGAACTGATAAATTCTTTATTTTTATTTTTCTTAATCCTAAACCACCGCTTTGCATTGGATTTCTAGCTTTTGCAACCTAGACTAGATAGTGGCGGATGAATTAGTCCTGTAGGATTTGGAATTCTACACGATGATACCAACACTCTCTAGAATTTTAGGATGATGCCAACAGCACAACTTTAGCGGCTGTGACACGGAGGAATTGCATTCTAAGTTCAACTCCTTTTAAAAAGTCAGATGACACCAGTTAGGGTTTCTGTCAGTCCTTGGGGCACCTTTGGGCAAATTAGAAAAAAAGGCACCCCCTAAAACTCTTCCTGTTGGGAAGTTATAGTATACTGGATACTTTACTGCCATCTGCTGGAAAACTAAACTATTGCATTGAACACACCAATATCGTTATGATTTGTGGGATGTGGATGCCCTCAGAGATTGTGCCTTTGTGCAGTGCACAACCTGCGCAACAGTATATGGCAGCTTTGAATATGGTTACCAGACAGAAGCAGAGCAAATGGATTAAGTGTTTGTGAGACACTGGCAAGGCTGCAAAGGGGTGAGGGAAAGAGGAACACAAGGATTATGGAAATGGGAGATAGGGCTCAACAGGGACCTTACATCATGAATGCCTGATATGGGTGTCATCTGCCGCAGGCAAGATAAAGAAGCAAAACACCTCCTCAGCCCCAGGCTCTAATCTAGAAGCCAGCCCCATCCTACCCGAAGGACTGTCCACATCTGAGATGACCTCATCAGAGAGAAAAACACTAACCAATCATAGAGGAGCTCTGACCATTGGGGAGGGGCCCAAACGTCAGATCAACGACAAGCGTAGATGGAAAACCAGCCGATAAGGGGGGCAGAGGAGGAGGTGGGGTAAGGCAGAGAGCCAATCCAGAAGGAGGATGGATTTGGCCACTGGGAGGGCAACAGTCTGGAACATGCCAAGAGCATTTGGGTGACGAACTGACCAATGGGGCAAGACTTGGAAACAGACCACTTGGGGGACGGCCGGGAACAGGTGGATGGAGACCAGAGGGGCTCGAACCTGAGCGAGCTTCATCATCATGTGGGCGAACACGTGCAGGAATCCCACCACCGCGTCCCATAGACGGCTGTGCGCCAGGCTCTGCTGGTTCCCGGTGCAGGGGCCCTGGGGGGCAGAGGGCCGTGTGAGCAGGAAGGGAATCCCTGAGAAAGGATCAGGGATGGCGATGCGGGACCCCCGCCCCTCCCACTCCCTCCGAGGGGCGCGCCCCACCTGGATGTACTCGGTGAGGCTGTTGAACACCTGCTTAGCCACCGACATGGCTTTGGAGAAATTCCTCTTGCCCTGCTCTTCAATGACGTCCTTGCCTGAGTAGTACCAGTAGAAGTCGCTGATGGATTCCTGGGGGGCAGGCAGGGGGTGAGGGGGTGCTGGGGGCGACCATGGTCTGGCAGCCCCGACCCAAGTCACACCTGAACCGTCTCACGTCCTCACCTGCAGCCGCAGGAGGTAGTCCACCGTGCAGATGATGATGTTAATAGTGGTTGTGTTCCCTGTCTGTGTCCGTAGGTAGTTCTGGAAATCTGAGGAGATGAAAAGTCACTCATTCAGCACCTCCCATGTGCTAGGCGAGATGAACAGTGGGTCATTTATTCATTTATGCAATACTCACGTGTTGAGTACCTATCATATGCCAGAAGGCATATAATCATCAATTTGTTTAATGACTATCAAGTACTTACTATGTGTCAGAGAAAGATGGATGATCATTTATTCATTTATCTAAAAATACCGGCCAGGCATGGTGGCTCATGCCTGTAATCCCAGGCATGATGGGAGGCCAAGGTGGGTAGATCACCCGAGGTCAGGAGTTCAAGACCAGCCTGGCTGACATGGTGAAACCCTGTCTCTACTAAATAAACCACAAAACCAGCCAGGCGTGGTGGTGGGCACCTGTAATCCCAGCTACTTGGGAGGCCGAGGCAGGAGAATTGCTTGAACTTGGGAGGCGGAGGTTGCAGTGAGCCGAGATCGTGCCACTGCACTCTAGCTTGGGCAACAAGAGTGTAACTCTGTCTCAAAAAACAAAATTAAAAAATAAAAATATTGAGGGCCTACTATGTGTCAAATGTGGTGGAGGGTCATTTATTCACTCGTTTTTTTCTAACAAATATGTATTAAGCACCAACTGTGTAGCAGGGAGAAATAGAGATTCAGTCCCCCATTTGTTTCCAAACAATTTCATAGAATGCCTACTATGTGCCGGGAATATTCAAGCATTTACCCAATGAATATTTATTTAGCATCTACTAAAGGCCAGGGAACATAAGGATTGGTCATTCATTCATTATTCAACATATTTTATCGAGTGTATACTAAATGCTAATGAGATTAAGATTGTCACATATTCTTTGCTACATTTATTGAGTTCTTACTATGTGTCATGCAGTATTGCAGTCTCTGGAGATTTAGTTGTGAAAGAAAACAGTTCCTGGGCTTGTGGGGGATTTTTTTTTTTTTTTTTTTTTTGACAAAGTCTCCCTCTGTTGCCCAGGTTGGAGTACTGTGCCATGATCATAGCTCGCTGTAGCCATTGCCTCCTGGGTTCAGGTGATCCTCCCAACTCAGCCTCCTGGGAAGCTGGGACTATAGGTGTGAGCCACCACATCTGGCCAAGTTTTACAACTTTTTGTTGAGACCAGCCCAGGCTAGCCTCGAACTCCTGACCTCAAGCAAGCCTCCCACCTCAACCTCCCATAGTGCCAGGATTACAGGTATGAGCCGTGGGTCCAGCCTCTGCCCTTGTGAAGTTTCCATTCTTGTGCGCTAATTTTTCAGTCTTTTCTGACTGCAATCTACTGTAGGAAATCCTTTTTACATTGAGACCTGATACATGTGTTCAATCTGAAATGGTATTCGTGGACTCCTGAAACAGAAGTTTCACACTGCCTTGCTCTGTGCCATGCATTCTGTTCTTTTCCATCCTGTACTGCTTTAGTTAACTACGAAAGAAGAAATTTGTGGTTCTCATCCTCTCAACCTTGACTGCACATGAGAACAAACAGGAGGCTTATAAAAATCCCAGTGCTCGGGCCCAACCCCAGATCAATTAAACCAGAGCCTCTAGAGGCGAAACCTGGGCCTCAGTATCTTTTAAAGCTAGCCAGGTATGCCAGTGTACCATTACGATGATAACCTCTGTGTGAAACTGATTCATGCACATCTCATGGGCTGGTTCCCACTATTTAAAAAACATTGTTCTATGGCAGCAAACTGTTAAAGCTGAGTGACGGGTAGTTGGAGTTTATTATACTGTAGTACATGATTGGAGGTTTATTGTATTCTATGATTTTTTTTTTTGAGAGACGGGGTCTCCCTATGTTGCCCAGGCTTGTCGTGCACTCCTGGGCTCAAGCGATCCTCCTGCCTCAGCCTCCTAAAGTGCTGGGATTACAGGCATGAGCCACAGTGCCCAGTCAAGTCTTTTTAAATGTTTATAGTATCATGTTGCACAGCACAGAAAGGTTTTTACAGCCCCTGAAAGTATATTCGCCCCCAGTTTTTCTTTTCCCCTTTCTGTTTTTTGAGAGGGAATCTTGCTCTGTCGCCCAGGCTGGAGCAGTGGCACAATCTCAGCTCACTGCAACCTCTGCCTTTTGGGTTCAAGCAAGTCACCTGCCTCAGCCTCCTGAGTAGCTCGGATTACAGGCACGTGCCACGACGCCCAGCTAATTTTTTATTTTTAGTAGAGACCAGGTTTCACCATGTTGGCCAGGACGGTCTCGATCTCCTGACCTCGTGATCTGCCTGCTTCTGCCTCTCAAAGTGCTGGGATGACAGGTGTGAACCGCTGTGCCAAGGCACATTATTTTTTTTTTTTGAAATGGAGTCTGGCACTGTCACGATCTTGGCTCATTGCAACCTCTGCCTTCTGGTTCAAGCGATTCTCCTGCCTCAGCCTCCCAAGTGGCTGCGATTATAGGCACCTGCTACTGTGCCAGGCCAATTTTTCATTTTTGGTAGAGATGGGGTTTCACCATCTTGGCCAGGCCGGTCTCGAATTCTGGACCTTGTGATCCACCTGCCCAGCCTCTGAAAGTGCTGGGATTACAGATGGGAGCCATTACCCCCGGCTCCCCTGAACTTTTTTACAATCACTCTATCAGGTTGGCTCAATGGAAGGCCCATTTTGCCTGGTTTCATGATATAGACAAAGCGTACTCAAATATTTAACATTTTATGAGCAAAGGTACAGGCTTTCCCACCAACCCTGCTGTCTAACTCCTTTGTGTTAATTTAAATTGGACTATATGCAAAAATAAAAGATACACAGCTCCTGTAAAAAAAATTCTGCCAACTGAAAACACCTGTTATAGACGTGCAAATTAGCAAGAGACAAATCTTTTGTCTGCTTTGAATAGCACTGACTCCTCAAGACATGCAAGGCCCCTGAGATGTAAAAGGTGTTTCTAATTTCTATTTGATTGGGCCATGAATTTAGGCAGAGGACTGGGATGCAAATTTGTTGGGAGACAGCAATCCTCCTGCTCACAACATTCTCATTTTCTAAACACATTCTCGAGGAACAAAATTCATTTTAAACCCAACGGCTGATTCCATCTTAGTTAACATTAAAGAATGAAAATCTTAGTCCTGGCTGGGTATGGTGGCTCACACCTGTAATTCCAGCATTTTAGGAGGCCAAGGCAAGAGGATTGCTTGAATCCAGGAGTTTGAGACCGCCTAGGCAACATAGTGAGATCTTGTCTCTACAAAAAATAAAAAACTCAGCCACACATGGTGATGCATGCCTGTAGACCCATGTACTCGGGAGGCTGAGGTGTAGATAACTTGATCCGGGAGGCAGAGGTTGCAGTGAGCTGTGATCATGCCACTGTACTCCAGTCTGGGCAACGGAGTGAGACCTTGTCTAAAAAAAAAAAAAAAAAAAAAAAATGGAAAAAGAAAATCTTAATCCCATGGCACAAAGATATTTAACAAACCCTTGAAAACTGGTTGTGGACACAAGAGCTTTTGAAAATTCAAGACAAAGGGATCATGCTTTATCCTTTGTTGAAAGTAAAAGAACAAAGATTAAAGATATTTACAAATCAATTACTTAATGAGCACTAACCAAGTGGGTGAAGGTTCTATGGAAGTTAGAGTTCTAATTACTCCAATTCTTGTCATGCAAGTTAATTTCCGGGTAGTCTGTGGTTTCCTAATAATCTGCTAAGGGTTATAACCACAATCTCAAGACTGTACGTGTTTGTTATAGGAAATGGCACTGGGTAGAAAGTTTGTTGTGCAGAATTTTGACTGTTCTGTAAAGTTGTAAACTAGGTTTGCTGCATCAGGCTGTGTTCCCCGTCACTGATGTCGTGTAATTAATTCGCTGTCATCCTCAATCTTGTTAAATTGGCTGAACCACAACAAAAGACAAAACTCTTGCTTAAGATAGGAAAGAATCTGCAGGCCTTCGTACAGATCTTCCCTCTGCAAAGATTTTATAAGCAAAACAAACAATAGATTTAAAAATAAATCTATTCGATTTATTTTTATAAAAAACTGCCAGGCAGTTTTTTCCTTTAGGTTTTTTCTGGCCCTAAAGTACAGAAATCCATCACATGTATTGAACTTTGGCAGCCACTGCAGAGTGCCTGTGGGAAAATGGCGTGTGACAAATTATCCATTTGGGCAAATTGATTTTTGGCCAAATTGGTTTTTGGCAGGTTGATATTGGGGAATTGGACTGGCCAGAGGAGATGAAGGGGAAGCAAAGTGGCTAGATTCCAGAAATTCCAGAGGTTTTTTTTTGTTTTTTCTTTGAGACCTAGGTTCACTCTTGTTGCCCAGGCTGGAGTGCAATGGCTCGATCTCCGCTAACTGCAACCTCTGCCTCCTGGGTTCAAGTAATTCTCCTGCCTCAGCCTTCTGAGTAGCTGGGATTACAGGCGTGTGCCACCATGCCCTACTATTTTTGTGTGTTTTTAGTAGAGACAGGGTTTCACCGTGTTGGCCAAGCTGGTCTGAAACTCCTGGCCTCAGGAAATCCACCCGCCTAGGCCTCCCAAAGTGCTGGGATTACAGGTGTGAGTCACTGCGCCAGACCTCCAAAGAGATTTTGAAAGCTAGGTGGATTGACACTGGCTGGAGAGTGGTCATCATTGATGGGGGAGGAGGGGGGTTGGAGACTAACTCAGGCAACCCTTCTGTACCAGCCCCGAACCTCGGCTTCCCCTCCACCCCACACCCCTCCTCCTCACCATTATTGTGCCCCTCACAGAGCAATTGTAGGAATCGGAACAGGTCTTGTGTGAATTCATCATCCGCCATGACCTTCTCTCCTGGGTGGAAGGGAGGGGGCAGGGCCCAGGAGGGGTCAGATGCGCCAAGACACAGCACACACATGCACAAGGCCCATGCACACTGCACATGCATGCACAAAGCATGGGGGTGCTGGGAGGAGCAGCCGCCACTTCGAAGACACTGTGAGGGCCATGGGCATCCATGACACCAGGCGGTCTTGATCTCAGAGTCCATGACATCAGCAGATGGAGACCCAAGGGGCCCTGAGTCATGAAGCTGAGGCCTCAAGTGTCTTTCTACATCAGTGCCCTCTGATGTCACAACTTGTGTTACATCTGGGAATGTCTGCTGACCTAACAGACACTCAGGCAGCTGGTAATGCCCTCAGCCCCCCTCCAGGCCATGGAGGTTAATGGATTATGGGGGTTTGGGTCAGGTCACTTTCACACAAAGGCTCTGGGCAGGGAGAGATTGGGCTGGGATAAGGGATGGGGATTGAAAGCCAGCCAATTGGCCCAGATGCCTTGAAAGCAGCCAATCCAGGAGTAGCAAAGGGGAGGAGTGTAAACAAAGGCCAATCAAAACAGACATCTGAATGAAGCCAATCATGGAGAGCAGTAGGAGAGGAGGCTAGACTGTAAATGGGCCAACCAGAGCAGGCGCAGAGGAGGCAGGCGCTTAGGAGGCAGGCGCACACCAATCAGAGTGGATGCCAGAGGCAACCAATTCTGTTGGTGGATGGGAACCACTGACCGACCAATCTGAGGTCGGAGCGCAGACAGCAGAGTAGGTGGGAGTGGGGATTACTCCACATCGGGACTGCGAATCTGGGTCTGGAAGTCTAACAATATCCAGCTGGAAAGAGACCTTTGCAGTGTTCTCTAGCTTCTGTTTTACACATGGGGAAAGTGAAGCTTAGGGAAGGTAAGAGGCTGGTTCACAGGCCCATGTATTCTCAGTGGCTGATCTGGGACCAGAATCGTATTCCCCAGACTCCTGATCTCCAGGCTTTGCACTGGCAAGGTGCACCTGCTGAAGGGTCCTTCCCTCCCCTCCACGTCCCAGATCCTCAGCCCCCAGGTGGAGGGGTGGCTGGGGGTTAGGAGGGGTGGGTGGCAGCAGCACAGCACGGGGGTGGGCTGGGGGAATTACCGTTCTGGCGATTGATGACTGGGGCAGCCAACAGGATGGGAGGAGGAAGCAGGAGAAAAGAGAGAAAAAGAGAGAGGAAGACAGAGACCGCAAACACACACAATGACAGTCAGGGACAAAGACACAGAAAGACACAGACACACAGAGAGAGGAACAACCCACAGAGAGAAAGGCAGAGTGATAAGGAGACAGAAGGAAGTGGATTAGCAGGGAAGAGGGTAGGAAATGAGGATAAAAGCAGAGGGAATGAAAGAAGGTGGAGAGGGAGGGAGAGAGAGATGAAGAGGTACAGGTGGAAAGGCAGGAGCAAGGATCGGGGTGGAAAGGTTAGACACACCACAACACGGCAAAGAGGAGACGTGATTAACCTGGATTAGGGACATTAATAAGAGAACAGCAACCAGGGCGTGACATTTGGGGCAGGTGGAGGGTTGGGTCCATGTGGTGATGGGCAAGAACACAAGTCAGAATGACTTCTGGTCATGGGAGGAGGTGGTGGGCATGGGGAGGGAGATCCTGGGCGGATGGAGGGAGTGAGACTGGGGGACCACTACAGGGGGAGGAGCCCGAGGGAGCCCTTGGGAACCAGTGTCTTGGAGGAAGGGAGCTCTGGGTAATGGCAGGTGGGGGTAGGGTGGCAGGAATCCCGAAGGAAGATGTCCCGGGGAGAGGGAAGCCCAAGGGAGGGCCTCACCAGTGCCATCCTCGTTGACCATGCCCAGCCCCTCAGCCTTGTTCTGTCTCTCAAAGGCATTGAGATCCAGGACGCTGAGGAAAAGAAAGGAAAGACAGGGGGGATGTGATGAAGCCTCTGCCCTCCTCTCTTCCAGGGTCTGACAGCTCCCCACTATGGGGGGCTGGAGAGCCACAGTAAACCATGTATGTGCTGAAATCAAGAGGAAACAAAGAGTTGGCAGAAGCTAGGACATAATATTGGCCAGGATGAACCCTGTGCAAGCTGAAATAATGAAGAACAGAAACCACCCATCAGCAAAAAGCTGCAGAGGGTAGGAAAAGGCAGCCAGCAGCAAGAGGCCAATACAGGCAGACAACAGTGGAGGCATATTAACAGGGGTCAACAGAGAGCTCCCAAATCTCCTGCTGCCAAGTTCCCCCTGAATTCTAAACAAGTTTTTGGTTCCACTGTCTGGAAGCCATAATGCAACTCATTCTTAAACCTATGACATTTTGCCTCCCTATTGTTCTACATTAATTCTTATAATAAATTCCCTGTTATTTGAGCAATTCTGAGTGAGTTTCTTTTCCTGGGCCAAAAGAGCAGAATTAGAACCAGAAATGGTACCAGGAGTGGGGAGGCAGAGGCACCAAACAGAGCTTAAAAAGAAGAGGCATACTCGAACCTACCTGCACGTTTGCATCAGTGCCTGGATACTCTGGAAGAAGCCAACTTCCTTCTTGTCCTTCAGATAATCCAGCATTTTCTGAAGGGGGAGAGGCAGGGGAGGAGGAAACTGGGAGTCACACAGGAACCTCCCATCTCTCTTTGCCTTCCTCCCAAGTCCCTTTGCCTCTGTTACCTGCTGCACTTCAGCATTGCCTCCATTGAGGATGGAGATGCCCAGCTTCAGGGTAGAGGACACCATGGCACCTGTCTCTCCTAGAGGGAGTGGGAGACAAAAGATGGTCCACCCAGTTGGAAGGCAGCGTGTTCCAGCCACCAGAAAACAGCCATCCCAGGGGATGTGAGATAAGGGGATGGAAGAGTGTGCAAAGGAGTACATGCAGGGGTGACTGCAACTGAAGGATGAGTAAGAAATTGCAAGGCAGGTATGCCAGGGGAAGCTGCAAGGGCTGGGGTGTGCGTGCACACCACAGGCATGGAGGGGCGGCAAATGGGTTCACAGGAAACAGGTGAGCTGGGAAGAGTGAGGACAGGATGAATGCACTCGGAAGAGCCCAATGCACATGTGAGGAGCACCTTTGCAGGCACTGATCATCTGCAGCACCATCTCGGCTGCCCCCCGGGTGTGCAGCCGCGCTTGCTGGTACAGGAGCCTCTGTTTCTCCATCTCCTTCTCCTGAGCAGGGAGGCAGACCCATGGGGGCAAGTCCAGGCTTTCCAGCCCAGCCTTTCCCCCTCACATTCTCATTTCTGCCCTCCCTGTTCCAGCTACATCCATGACTCCCTCCTTCAATCACGAGCTCCCTCCATCCCCTGGGGCTCACACCCTTGATTTATCTCCTGTACCTAGCACACGACTAGGCATCGGGCAAGACCTACATAAATCAGAGCTGGGCATGCAGCAATCTTAACCTGAGCCCACAGACCTCCAGGCCATCTTTGAAGCTGGATGATGAAAAGTTACATTTTTATGTTTTCTACCCTCTAACAGAAATGTAGCATTCCCTTCCTTTATCGATGAAGCCATAAATCACAGCAATATTGGCAGAACCTGTGGTTTTGTCACCAATAAAAATCACAGATGTGACCAGGCACAGTGGCTCACACCTGTAATCCCAGCACTTTGGGAGGCTGAGGCGGGCAGGTCACAAGGTCAGGAGATCAAGACCATCCTGGCTAACATGGTGAAACTCCACCTCTACTAAAAACACAAAAAATTGGTCAGGAGAGTGATGGCACATGCCTATAGTCCCAGCTACTCGGAAGGCTGAGGCAGAATTGCCTGAACCCAGGAGACGGAGGTTGCAGTGAGCTGAGATTACATCACTGCACTCCAGCCTGGGTGACAGAGCAAGACTCTGTCTTAAAAAAAAAAAAAATCACAGATATTCCCAAATCACATTATTGTTGCAGAATTAGAACCACTTCCGATTCAAATTCTGCTCTTTTGGTTCAGGAAAAGAGACTCAGAATAGCTTCAAGATGTCTCAGAATATCACTTATGTTCATCACTGCTTCTCAGTTATGGTAGCTGTTGGATCCACTGCTAGATCTTTTTTTTCTTTTTTTTTTTTGAGACACAGTCTCGCTCCATCACCCAGGCTAGAGTACAATGGTGTGATCTCAGCTCACTGCAACCTCCACATCCTGGATTCTTCTACCTCAGCCTCCTGAGTAGCTGGGATTACAGACACACAGCACCATGCCCAGCTAATTTTTGTATTTTTAATAGTTTCACCATATTGGCCAGGCTGGTATTGAATTCCTAACCTCAGGTGATCCATCCGCCTCGGCCTCCTAAAGTGCTGGGATTACAGGCATGAGCCACCGCAACGAGACTTAGATCCTCTTATTTGATAGATTAACAACATGCAAGTATTATTGGATCACAAATTCTTTCTTTTTTTTTAGAGACGGGATTTCACCATGTTGGTCAGGCTAGTCTCAAACTTCCTGACCTCAGGCGATCCACCCACCTCTGCCTCCCAAAGTGCTGGGATTACAGGCGTGAGCCACCGTGCCCAGCCTCAAATTCATCTTTAAAAGATTTGGATAGCTATTCAATACTTGTTTCCTCTGCTATGAATTCATTTTATACATTTAAAAACATGATCCTAAGAAAGCGTTGGTCAGATGCCAGAGGGGCCTCTGGCACAGAGACGGTCATCTCAGAAACAGAGACAGACTGTCTCAAGGAACGAATGGATGGTGAATTGCATGTTTACTAGTTCTTTCTCACCACCTGGCCTCGGCACATACTACTCCCCCTATGTGGAACATTTTTCTCTTTTTAACTGGCAGGCTCCTTTTATCCTTCTGCTCAGACCTCCCCTCCTCTGAGAAGCCCTCCCTGATATCTTTTCCTGCAGGCTGGGTCAGGCACTTCCTTTGGCTGCTTTATCCCTCTGAGATTCCCCCATCTTGGCCCTGACCCCTTGACCTTACTTTCCCCCATGACCACGGTGCATACCCTGTGCTGTTAGTTTGACTGGTGTGTGTGTCTGTCTCCCCAGAGGACTGACTTGGTCACTGCCGTGTCCCAGACCTTTGCTCTGGGAGCAATGAAGGAATGGGAGATGCATGCAGTCCGGGTCCCCCATCCCTTCCCTCCAGGACCTCCTGAGCCCACCTACCTCAAAGGAGACCTCAACCTCCTCTTCACCTTCGACGTTCTCCCCTCCCTCCTCCAGGTGGCAGCTCTGGGGAGGGGGCATCAGTTAAGGGATGAACAAAGCAGACCCCCCTATACCACCCCAGCCCCTTTTGTGGACAAGCACTGCAGGTGGGGAGCGGGAAACCTGCACCAGATGAGGTGTGGGGGGCTCACCTTTGCCATGATATCAGCATAGGCCATATACAGGTAATCCTCGTCCAGTTTGCTGGGGAAGTAAGAAGGGGAGTGGTCAGGACCCAGTGGAGAGGATCCCCATCTTATAAGAGCTTCTGGGCTGGGTACGGTGGCTCATGCCTGTAATCCCAACATTCTGGGAGGTTGAGGCGGGCTGATCACTTGAGGTCAGGAGTTTGCGATCAACTTGGACAACATGGTGAAACCCCGTCTGTACCAAAAGTGCAAAAAATAGCTGGGTGTGGTGACGCGTGCCTGTAATCCCAGCTACTCCGGAGCGTGAGGCAGGAGAATCGCTTGAACCCGGGAGGCAGAGGTTGCAGCGAGCCGAGATCTCATCACTGCACTCCAGCCTGGGTGACAGAGTGAGACTCCGTCTCGGGGAAAAAAAAAAAAAAAAAAAAAAAAAAGAGCTTCTGGAGGGCCTTCCTTTGGAGGGCCAACCCTCCCCAAGCTCAGGCTGTGTGGCTCAGCTGGCTGAAGCGGCCACTGCCAGGGTGGCTTGTAACAAAGGCAGGGGCCAATGAGGACTTTTATCTGTGTGGCCATGATGACAGGTAAGAAATGGCCATGTTGTCCATGCTGTCCGGTGGAACCTATTCTGGGAGTTGTTTTGTTTGTTTTTGAGACAGGGTCTTGCTAGGTTGGCCAGGTTGGAATGCAGTGGTGTAATCAGGCTCACTGCAGCCTTGACCTCCCAGGCTCAAGTGATCCCCCCACCTCAGTCTCCTGAGTAGCTGGGATTGCAGGCATGTACCGCCATACCTGGCTAATTTGTCTATTTTTTTCTTTTTTTTTGGTAGAGACAGGGGTCTTGCCATGTTGCCCAGGCTGGTCTCAAACTCCTGGACTCCCAAAGTACTGGGATTATAGGCGTGAGCCACGGTGCCTGGCCCATTCAGTGAGGTTTGCTGGAGCTAATGGTAGAGGCACTCCCTTTCCACTGGGGATGCTAAAATGGAGTGATGGAGGGCTGGCACTCCCAGGGCCATCTTGCCACCTGTCAGCCCAACAACAAATATGGCCGCTGGGCACGGTGGCTCACGCCTGTAATCACAGCACTCTGGGAGGCTGAAGCGGGCGGATCATGAGGTCAAGAGATTGAGACCATTCTGGCCAACATGGTGAAACCCCATCTCTACTAAAAATACAAAAATTAGCCAGGCATGGTGGTATGCACCTGTAGTCCCAGCTACTAGGGAGGCTGAGGCAAGAGAATCGCTTGAACCCAGGAAGCGGAGGTTGCAGTGAGCTGAGACTACGCCACTGCACTCCAGCCTGGGCAATAGAGCAAAACCCCGTAGCAAAAATAAAAAAAATAATAAAATATAAATAAATAAATAAAACAAAATGAAAAACAAATCCCTGTGCCTTCATTCCCTTATCCACACAAAGGAGCTACGTTAATCCGTCTCACAGTGTGGCGATTAAGTGAGAGGGTACAGAAGTCAGTGCTTAGCTTGGTGCCTGATACACGGTAAGCACTCGGTCAGCGCTGCCTGCTGTTGTCTGCATCACGATTCTTTATTACTAAGCCCGTCAGTAGCCCACATGAAGCCTTTAAGGGAATTAGAGAAAGCGCCCCCCTGCCACGTCTGTCTGTTGGAAATTTGTCATACATATGGATTTTTTTTTTCATAATATACTGATTTTATTTGAGCAAGACACCTTCTTCTAAAAAAGCCCAGTTAATCGGCCAGGTGTGGTGGCTCACGCCTGTAATCCCAGCACTTTGGAAGGCTGAGGCGGGTGGATCACCTGAGGTCAGGAGATCAAGGCCATCCTGGCCAACATGGTGAAACGCTGTCTCTACTAAAAATACAAAAATTAGCTGGGCATGGGAGAGTGTGTCTATAATCCCAGCTGCTTGGAGGCTGAGGCAGAAGAATTGCTTCAACCAGGGAGTCAGGAGTTGCAGTGAGCAGAGATCACACCACTGCACTCCAGTCTGGTGACAGGGCAAGACTCTGTCTCAAAAAAAAAAAAAAGCCTAGTTAATCTACATTGCCTGTGATGTGAACCCCTTAGAGATGCCCTTGTGAAGTGTCAGCCATGCAACAGTGTATCGTGGCTGTGCCTGTCCTAGCAAAGTGACATTTATGTTTCTTTTCTTTTTTGAGACAGAATTTCGCTATGTTGTGCAGCTGGATTGCAGTGGTGCGATCTCGGTTCACTGCAACCTCTACTTCCTGGGTTCAAGTGATTCTCCTGCCTTAGCCTCCAAGGTAGGTGGAATTACAAGTTCCCACCACCAAGCCTGGCTGTTTATTGTATTTTTGTAGAGATGGGGTTTTGCTACGTTGGCCAGCCTGGTCTCGAACTCCTGGGCTCCAGTGGTGGCCTGCCTCGGCCTCCCAGAGTGCTGGCATTATAGGTGTGAGCCACTGTGTCCTGCCAGCAAAGTGACATTTAAAGATCTGTCTGTCCTGGGCTCCCCCAGGACACGGAGGGCCTCTCCTCAGGCACAGGGAGGCTGCTGGGCTGGAGTGGGGGTGGCCAGGTGCGCCTCTTTCCCAGGACTTTGGGGGCATTTCTGGGGCCCTGGGAAGAGTCCTCACCTCTTTTCCGTCAGGGCAGTGCGGCTGAAGTGCAGGACCAGCTGGTGCAGGGGGTCTGGTTTCTTCTCTTCCACCTCTTCCTCCTCCTCCTCCTGCTCCCCAGCTTTCTGAGGGGAGAGGGGAGTCTTGGGGAGAGGGTTTCTAGTGCCCCTTCCTATCACTGCCCCCATGCCCTGTTGGTCTGGATTTTTTTCTCTTTTTCCACATCCTGCACCCTACTTTGGTTCTACCTCAGCCAGGGGCTGGCATGTCTATGCCCCTTGATGTGGAGGGCGACCCTAGAAGGTGTGTCAAGGGTGGCCTCACCCCAGCCATATCCAGCTCGCCCCCACTCCCCGAGGTGGGCCCCAGCTCACTGAAAGGTCATCTATCATGCGGTCCTCAAAACTGTGGTCTTCAGTCAGGATCCACACAGCCTTGTAACTCTCCAGGAACATGTTACATGCCCGGTGCCTGCAGGGGAGAGGTCTGGGCGTCACTGGGACGTTCCCTCCTCCATGCCTTCTGACCTCCCATGCGCCTGCAGCTCCCCCAGCCATCCCCAAGACCCCATTACGTTGGCACTCCATTCTCCAGACCCTCCATCTACCCCTTCTCCACAGCTCCTCACACTGGCCTCGTGCCCAGGGGCCTTACGTGGGCAGGTTGTACAGGGGCGTCATGCGGAAACAGGCCACCACTGCCCGCCGGCGCTGCTTGGACAGAAGCTTGTGCCACACGGCCTTCTTAGACTTGTGAGGGTGCTCGGTCTGGGGAGCAGGACAGTCTGTCACACCCCCAGGCCCTGCCCCTGGCCTGATGCCCACCCCTAGCCCCGGATGAAACTGCCCATCTGTGCCCAAGTCCATATGCGGGACCGACTCACACAGCAGAACACATCTCCGCCAACAGAGTCAGAGTCCCAGCTGTGCCTCCCACCTGTTTCCATCCCAGGCCTGGTCCCCCAGAGCCACAGCCACCACCCAGACCACGACCAATTCCCCGACACACCCAAGGCCCTGCCCATGAACTCAAGGCATCTCCTCTAGGCCCCATCCCTAGAACTAAAATTCTGCCCCTTCCCCATCCTGCCCCCAGACGCAAGATTAAGCAGCAGGCCCCTCCCCCAGATCCGCTCTAAGCCTCACCTTAAACTCAAGGCGCCACCTCCTGTCCCGCCCCAAAGCTTAATAGTCATCTCCAGACCATGCCCACATTCTTAAAAGCCCCCCAACTCTCCCCTCCCCCTCATCCCCCCACCCCGTCTTCAGGCTCCGCCTACAGACCCAGCAGTCAGAGCCCTCTGGCCCCACCCACCTGGTCCAGGTGGTAGAGCACAGCTGACACTTCCTGGACCCTGCGCACGATTTTCTCGGGGTCGTCAGCATCCTCCTCGCGACCTGGGACGCCCCAGTACAGGGCCATCTGCCAGCGCAGAGACGGGGAGCCTTCAACCTGAGGGGAGGAAGGAGGGGTGGTCGGCGTGAGGAACCCTCCCCACCTTTCAGCTGGATGTCCCCTTTCCGTTATTGGGAGGACTCAGTGGGTGAGTGCATGTTGAGGTCTTTTTTTTGTTTTGAGATGGAATTCCGTCAGCCAGGCTGGAGGGCAGTGGTGTAATCTCGGCTCACTGCAACCTCTGCCTTCCGGGTTCAAGCGATTCGCCTGCCTCAGCCTCCAGAATAGCTGGGACTACAGGCACCCGCCATCACACCCAGCTAATTTTGTATTTTTAGTAGAGACGGGGTTTCACCATGTTGGCCAGGCTGATCTCGAACTCCTGACCTCAGGTGATCTGCCTGCCTTGGCCTCCTACAGTACTGGGATTACAGGCGTGAGCCACTGTGCCCAGTCTTATTGTTGTATTTTTAGTAGAAACATGATTTTGCCATGTTGGCCAGGCTGGTCTCGAACTCCTGACCTTCGAGGTCTTTCTTTGATGCCTGGTCTTTGGTAAGTGCTCAAATCTTTGCTAATATTGTGGTTATTTTTTTGACCTGCCCCTTTTGCTTGCGGAGGAAGGAGGCATACCTTTCCCTGAAGGTGAAGGTTGTTGTGTAGAAATTCTCGGACCTCCTCGTCTGTGTCTTTCTGGGGAGACAGGACCAGGCCGGATCACTCTGGAAGTCCCAGCCTCCTTCCTGACCCACAACCCGTTCCTTCCAGGTCCAGCCCAGGAACTGAAGGGTTTTTTTCTGGCGGGGGTCGGGGGGGCAGAGCTGAGAGAAACAAAAAGGAAGCAGAGGCTGACAGTGGTCAGAAGGGGTCCTAGAGGGGCCAGAGGGTCACAGAGTCACCTTGAAGATACAGTATGGATTATGGATTGGAGGAGTTACTCAGGGTCCAAGGGGCTCCGTGAGCAGAGTCCTTGTGAGAGTCCTTGGAGGCTTAGTTGGGCATCAACAGGGCCCTAGGGAGGGGTCAGCAGGGACCTGAAGGAAAGGGATGGTGGGCCAAGGGCTCAGTGGGGACCCAGATGTTCAGCCTTGGTGGGGAGGAGAGGAGGGGTCATGAGGGGCTCAGTAGGTTCCAAGGAGCTTGAGGGGGCCTTGGTGGAGGGTTCAGAGGAGTCTCAGGGGCTCATTTTCTTGGGGGAGACTCTCAGGGTCTCAGCAGGATTGGCAAGGTCTGGTTGGGGGGCAGTGGGGTTCTGCAGTCCTCATGGGGGTCCCAGGGGTTCTAGAGCTTTGCTAGGTTTCAGTGGGGTTTCATTGAGGGCCTTGGGTCTGTGGTGCCCTGGGAGTATCTTAAGCGGGGTCCTCAGGGCATCCCAGAGGGTCCAGTGTGTCCTCAGCGTCCCGGAAAAGAACTCAGTAGGGTATGAAGGGAAGGCTCCCAGGGACCCGGGGGGCTCAGTGGGATCCTGGTTGTCCCCTAGGGTTCCAGGGGCTCAGTGGGTGCCAGGCGGCATCCTGGAAGGTTCCGAGGGCGGGGCTGGGCAGGCACCAGGGCATAGCGGGTCTTGGCCAGTGTGATGAGGTCCTGGTCGGTGGGCGCACACATGTTCAGGCCGATGGGCAGCATCTTCTTCAGCGTGGCCACGATCAGTGACGTTTGCACAGAGTACCGGTCCCCGCGGCGCTTCTTCTTGGTGCGTTCCTGGTCCGAGCCGCCGGACTGTGGGGACACAGGGCTCAGCACCAGCCCAGGCCCCAGTCCCAAGCCTCAGCCCCAGCCCATAGCCAGCGTCCACACCGCAGACTCCAGTTTGGTTATCAGGCACTCCCCGGGCCACCGCCGAGGATACCTCCATTTCCACCCCAGACTCGCCGACCCTACACTTCAGACCTGCAGCCCTGACCGGAGACCCTCCAGACCCAAGCCCACAACCCAATTCTCAGTTCCTCATTTTTTTGTTGCTGTTTTGAGATGGTTTCGCTCTTGTTGCCCAGGCTGGAGTGCAATGGCTCGATCTCGGCTCACTGCAACCTCTGTCTCCCGGGTTCAAGCAATTCTCCTGCCTCAGCCTCCCGAGTAGCTGGGATTACAGGCGTGCGCCACCACGCCTGGCTAAGTTTGCATTTTTAGTAGAGACGGGGTTTCTCCATGTTGGTCAGGCTGGTCTCAAATTTCCGACCTCAGGTGATCCACCCACCTCAGCCTCCCAAAGTGCTGGGATTACAGGTGTGAGCCACCGCACCTGGCCTGTTCCTTGTTTTTTAAATAAGTATTTATTTTTAGAGATGGTGTCTTGCTTTGTTGCCCAGGCTGGACTTCGACTCCTGGGCTCAAGTGATCCCCCCTGCTTCAGCCTCCCAAGTAGCTGGGGCTACAGGCACATGCCACCATGCCTGCCTGGCTCCAATTTCTAACCCAAATCCATCCAGATTTTCCCCAGTTCTAGGCCTGTCTCAACCTCTAGCAGTCCTCTTCTAGAATCCCCTGGAAGCCCCAGCACAACCACGCCCGCTCGCCATGCATGCGCAGACCCACACTTCACATCCCAAGGCTGAGTTCTCAAGAATGAAACAAAGATGCAGGCCCACAAAGAGTTCAAGAGACAAGAGAGATTGCAAGAAAGACACTGAGAGACTGAAAAAGACAAGGAGACGGGAAGGCTGAAGATGCAAGAGACATCCAGAAAGATCTGGAAGCAGAGACACGGGGCACAGAGTCCCACAGCCGTGTTCTGGAGCCTTGGGTGCAGACCCGGGGCCAGGGCCACCCCGGCCATGCCAACAAGAAGCCCTGATGACAAGCTTTGGCCAGAGCCACAGCCACGCCGGCTGGCAACTTTTGCACGACCCCCACGCCAGGCACTGCTGAAGGCCACTCATGCTGCTTCTCCCCGAGTCCTCGCAGAGCCCCAGGTGGGGGCCCCTGGCTGGATGCCCTCAGAGGCTCAAAAGGATGACCCCTGACCAACGTCACACAGCTAACTACCAAGACAGGATTCTAACCCCAGTCCAGACAGTCCAGAGCCCAAGCCTTAAACCACCGCACAGTGAGGGTGCTCCCCCTTCCCCAACCATGCGCCGCGTGCCTCTCCCGCCCCATTCCCCTCGACCTCAGCCATGATGCTTTGGTAAAAGCTGAGAGTTGCTCTTTCTTTCTTTTTTTTTTTTTTT